AGTATCGGGTTCCCATCTTGTGTGTGATAGCGTGGTGTGGCTGCTGCAGCTGCGAATCCATGCGAAGGGAAGGGGAAATCACAGCCTCGCTGCGTACTGCCAACGGCCAGAGCAGCGTCTTTTTGACTAACGCTTCTCTTCCCTGGGCTGTTGCCCGGTGCTTGCCAGGACATGGAGCAAGATCACTTTTTTTTTGAGTCTGGATGGTCTGGAAGCAGCATGAAGGCACAGTAATGTCAGTGGGTGAGTTTTGGACATTGAAAAAAGAGAATGACCAATCCAGGTAGACAAGACTTGATTTTATTAATAAAATTTGTATTTTCCTCTTTGAGGTGACAGTTACAAACTTTGGTTCAAAAATAAAAGAAAATGTGAACAGCAAAAAGTTGACTTTTGAAATCTCACTTTTACATGTATAAACGTGCATAAGAAAACACCAGATGGAAATGAGCCAGCAGAAACTAGTACTATTTAATTTAACAATTTATAAGAAATAGAAACAAACATTTCTTTTCAAGTCTTACATATATTATGAAAAATAATTACAAAAGGATTTGTGTTGTAAAGCTAAAATGTAATTTCTACTTCCAACTACCTGAATAAAATGTTCAGAGGGAAGGCCAAACCAACATCTTTTTGGTGAGATTTGAGTAGCAAGTTGTAAGGGTTGGGGTGGAGGCAGCTCTGTAGGAAGCGGTCCCCTCGTGTGTTGCTTAGCAACTATGTAGAATCACATGACCTAGACATATTGCATCCCTGGCCTTCAGGTGAAACAACAGGGAAAAATAATTCATATTAGTGGGATGGGCAAATATTGTATAGGACCCTTCTGTGGAACTTCCAGTATCCAGTTCAGGAAGCAAGCATCCGTCATTGCTTACATAAAAATCTAAGTAAACACTGCAAAAATCCATAAATAACTGTTTAGAATCCAGTTTTAATATTTATGCAGACCAAATAAGCACAATGGAAACAAATTCAGATGAGCTTAAAAAAAAAAAAAAGACAGCTATATGACTAATTTATTTCACACAGATTTTTAACAGATCTGTTATGCAGAAGTTGTTTTTTTTCTTGTTTTCTTACATATTTTCCCCACCCAAAAATATAAATTTGTTTATTTTAGGTATATACAGGTATCTTACGAAACTCTGGAATTAGAAAAGAAAATAAAAAGTCTGAGGTATAGCACCATGGAACACAGCACCTTTGAGGGTGCTTTAGCTATTGAAATTCATCATCACAGAGTGACACCAGCAGAGAAGAGTTGTGTGAGTGTGCTGCTCAAGATCTTCCAGTTTTGCCACCTTAAGTTTTGTTGGCGACTTCAAATAACAAAGCTCTCCAACGACAATATATACAAAGGGATTTTATTATTAATCAGAAATGGAATTGGCTTCACTGGCAATTACGGCTTTATTTTTCCAGAATACATACACAGTACTGACAGTGTAGTTTCGTAATTATAAAACAGGAGCCAGATGCAATTCAGAGACACATGCAAGTTTTGGAAATGGACAGAGAAATAACAGTATAGTACTGTACATAGAATAATTACAGTTTATTAAACACTTTCTTAACACCTCTTTGTTGTAGTGGAAGGAGCACCATGTCGTTTGTTTTTTTTACAGCACCAAAGGAATCCAAAGGGGGGGGGTGTTCCTAAAGTGAGCCCTATGTGTCTGTCTGTGCCACAGCATCTTTGCAAAATAAGTTTAAGTCATGTGATTCTGGCCCTACAAGGGCAACAATTACTTTCTAGATAAGACATACATACACAGCAAGACATATTTTCTATGCCATCCTTATTCAAAACTTGCATGTGGCATGAAGTGGGTTGGTAGCACCAAAGTGCAACATTTTTGTTGATCTGATTTTTGTCTGAAGCCTAACCAAGGAAGCAGACAGGACCGACCTCAAATCCAAACTTCTGGTTCTGGTCACCAAAGTCATTGATCATCACATCAACGATAGGCACTTGGTCTATTTTGGGTGTGTTGATTTCGATCACCGTCTTTGCGTAGCCCTTTCTTGACTGTTAAAAAAGAAGGAAAAAAAAAAAAAAAAAAAAAGCAAACGTGGTTATAGATCAGAGCAGTAAGCATGTGCAGTAGATCTTCATAGGTTATCTCTGAAGTGTAGAATTTATAAATTATCCCCCCCTCATGCACCAGATATTACAAACTCTAAAGTTTATGTTTTCCTAGGATTTTATTTTGAAAGTATGACATGGGATGTTTTTGTTTTTTAGAAAGAGATTGGCCCATAGCTTTTTGACATACTAAAATAGGCCTAAAAATGAAAAACTCTCTGAGATATTTAACGTTTCTTAGAGAATTCTGAGTTCACATCTATAGTATTTAACAAATAATAACAATATTCTCATGGCAGTGCATGTCTTCCTTGTGAAATAATCGCTACTTCTGAAAGACAGAAGATCCACTGCTAAGAGGAAAGACCTTTAACTGTCTCACAAAATACTAAAGCAGTTTGGACATGAAAGCAAGCAGCGGTCTGACAGGACTGCCAGCTGATGCGCTGAGACACCGGGTTTGAAGGCCCAACCTTACTTCCTAGCAAAGGCTTTCCACCTCCTCTAAACGTCATCCAGCCAAGTCATCACGTTAGTCACCAGGACTGCACTTCGTTCAGGTGGTCTCAGGTCCCTTTCAGACCCCTTTCAGCTACGGCAGGGCCTCCGAGTTCAGGTGAGCATCTGAGTTGGCAGGTCTGAGGGTTCCCCGTTTAGTGATGGAGTTACTCCCTAAATCACTTCCAGCTCTCTCTGGAGCTCTACACTCACCCACTGTGGGTAACAAAAGCAAAATAAATACCCAGGAGGTGCCGAAAGGCTGACCTGAAGCAGTTACTGAGGGGAGGAGACTCTGCACCTGCCTGAGCTGCATCTCCGCCTCAGAGCCGTATCCTGGCACTTTCCGGTCTCTGATTCTCTATCACTGACTTCTCAGGAACTGCCTTCAAAACGCTCCCATATCAAACCCCAAAATAATTAATGAGGCTTCAACTGTCACTTGCTCCTTTGATGTCTTTGTTTCAAAGTGCTCAGTACAAACCGTTCTGGTTCTGAAAACAGTTGCTATGCCTACACAGACCCTGCTGGAGAGGTGGTCAGAGAGCTGATGCAGGTTTGAACAGCTCCAGGGATTTTAGTGCAGCTAAGAGAGGATTCTGAAAGGTACAGTCAACAAACTTCACCTGGCTTTGACTACCAAAAAATGAGAAAAGGAAATACGAAGTCACGTATCAAACTGTGCAGTTAATTCACTGTGTTTGGGTACATACACATGGTTTAGTTCATACATGTTTTTATAGTATTCACTAAATATTCTGGCTGCGTATGCCTTAATTTTGAGTAGAAATATAGTCTGCTTGATGGGCTGCCTGACCTGATTATGCTTTTTTTGCCTCTGTTCTCTTACACTGTGCTCATACTAGCAGATAGTCTAGTTTCAGCACGTTGGTGGTGACAGCCTGGTTTGTTCCACTTCTGTTGCTTGGCTTATGGTTGGGGTTTTTTGGTCTATGAAAATTAAATAAGGGACTAGTGTACTGTAGTTAAAAATCTGCTAAAGGGCAGTCTATTGAAAGTAAAGTGTTTAGAAAGCTTTTATGAGAAGAAAGCTGTGAAAAAATGAATTTGTGTGATTTCTACTTTGACAGGTTGGTTTGGTAAAGGCTCTTCTGAACCTCTACTTACTGCACAGCCGTCGTGGAGAGCTTTGATGTGAGGATTGTTGTCATAAGACATTTCTTCATCATTCGATCCTAAGAACCTTATGGCTTTGTCATAGCTGTCCGACGACGCGTCATGCCAAGCTACGGACTGATGACAGTTGTAAGTGAAATTTTGTCTGGCAGAGGCACTCAGTAGTTTAAGGAATGTCATTTGGACCATATTAATGGAATTGCCTTCAACATCCAAATAGGAAAGCTGGAAAATACAAGAAGTTACATCGATATTTATCTATTTCCTTTGTTAAAGTGCAAACCAAAATTATGGTTGACAAAAGAACGATGTGACTTTCCTTAATAAAAAATCAGCCAACATGTAACAATTTATGGAATTTTAAAGTTCCATAAAGCTATGGCTCAGTAAACAGATTTTTATGTTGTATCAATATATTTAAGATGAAGAACTACATGTTTTAGCTTCATTCTGGTGGGAAAGGCATTGAATTACTCCTGGCATATTGTGTAAACCCGCAGAATCTCTTTGGGAATCTGTTTTTAGTTAATTAGAAAGTTATGTCAGCCTGCAGCCTCATCTTTGCATACTGGGTATGTTGCCAGTTACCTAGAGTGGGGCAGGGGATCTGTGCTCCAGCTGCTTTACTGAGGTTCAGTGGTGATGAGTGGTCTGCCAGAAGCCAGATCCTCACCATCAGCTGAGCAGCTGGCCACTGGGATCACTGTGGGACAGGACAGAGCAGGCTTCTGCGGTTCAGTGGCAAGAGGCCCTGTAGCTGCTCTAATATTTAGGGCAAAAGGGCTGGGGCTGAAAAGTCTTTTCATTAACAAAAGAGTTATAAAATTCCTTGGGATCTGTTGATCACTGATAACATGTACTTGACTTTTCAATAACCATTACGTTGCAGTGTAACAACTTACAAGTTTGCCTCGCTTAAATTCACTAAACCAAGATCCTGGATTCTCCTTTGGCCATGATGAAATTCTAACCTGTGTGGTAAAACAGCAGAGATAAAAGTATTTAAAACATATGTTAACAGATATGAAGGTTTTACATTACCTGGGACAAATGTCACATCAGGTAGTAAAGAATGTTTAATGTTTCTTCTTTCTGAGATCTCAGCCTCTTTAAAGCTTTAAAATAGGATGTTTTTTCGTGTATAGAATGCCTTCAAATTAGCGACTGTAAGTGGAATTCAAGGTGACAGCTTATAAAGAGAGCTAGTTCTATTTAAGGGAGACTGTTGTCATCTGTTAAGATTCAGGTAAGCTTCTGCTATAAATTGTTCCTGTGAAGAGGGTCTAAATTAGAGTTTTCACTGGTGTTGATGCTGATAGATCTCCCTCATTTAGGCAAGCTTTTAGAAAGCCTTCCTCTACACCATATGCCCCATCAGAGGTAATTTATAACAATGAATGAGGACACTGTTAATACATAGTGTTTTACATCTACTCTGCGTAGGTATAAATGAATAGATATAAATGAACCCACAAGAGAAACACAGTAGGAGTTTAGCTTTTAGGTGTCAAACGCCAGATGATGCGCTTTAACGGGCTGCACAGCGATGCTGCATTCTGAAATGCAGTGAAAGGTGAGCAAGCAGGTGCAGAGATTCCCTGTCTGAGCAAAAGCATGAAAATGCTGTTTGTTAACTCTCTGTGGCATTTTACCACTTTATTCAGATTTATGCAAATTTCAGCGTAATCAGAAAGACAGATATACGAAAATGTGACAATGTAATTATCCTGTTTAGTTCAACATTGCAACAGCCAACTGAAAACACAGCTTGGTACTTACTCCTTCAGATTTCTTATCTGGGTAGATGCAAGTTTCCCCACCTGCTGTGAAATTGCAGTATACTTTGAAGGAGTCTCCAGAACAGCCCTGGTTCGGATCAATCCAATATTCCCCTAAAACAAATGAGGAAATATTTGCCTTATATAGTGGAAATGGTATTTGGAAGATCCAGGATTTACTGCTACCTAATGGTGCTCTGAAGTTTGTAGCAAAGTTATTTTATCCAAAAGATGAGAAAGCAACCCTGTCTTTTCTGCCTTGTGATTTGTTGCTGTTGCTTGTGAAAGGTAAAACCGGGGCCTGTTCTCATCGTGTCCTTTTGGTTTTGTCTGGTTTTCCTTCAAACCATGACTTTATTGCAGGACGCTGCTGAGTTTTGGAGGAACTGCAGGGACCTCAGTCTAGCAGGGGAAGGACGTTATGTGTGAAACACGCATTGCAGGTCTCAACAATTGGGCCATTTCGGTGTTTCAGCTAGAAGGATGATTTGTACCTGTGGTGACAGCACTCTCAAAACCTGAGCAGAGGCAGGCTTAGGCAGAAATAAGCCATGGCTTAGGTCAAAGAGCAAAATCTGGTGTCATTTGCCTGCCTATCTACATAAAACGGTGGCTGCACAGGGCTTGGGGAGGTCGTAGCTGGCCCAAGTACCTAAAGCTTCCATTGAGAGAAAGAGCCCTCAAGCAAAGACGTTTTTTACTACTGGGTTATGAAGCTGCAACACTTGTGAAACTTCAGGCTGCTTTAGTTGGTAAAAGCACCTTAACTAATGCTTGGTTGGGTGACGGGGTGGGAAAGACCGTTAAAACTTGCTTCCCGTAGTGTCAGCAGTCCTACCAGGCCGCCAGCCCTGCCCTACAGCGCCGGTGAACGGAGGCGGGGTGGGAAGGAGGGCCGCAGTCAATCCAGGCTCCGCTAAAAACCAGCGCTTTTTAAAAATCTGCCTTGCTAATTATAACGGTGATCTCTGCAACGTGGGCCCTTCTCTCCAGCTAGTTTCACAGCAGGACAGCACATGATTTTCTGACACTGCCGTTCTAATCCAGTTTCAAGCAAATAGTGGAGGTTTCAAAGAGGAATGACAAATCCTTTCACCAGTTCTGTATTCTGAATAGAGGGCATAACCAATGCTTTGATGGTAATTTAAAATTCTATTGATTCAGGCTGTATTTATTGAAAACAGTGTTTCCTACCTGTACGTCTTGTCCCTGGAGAATTTTGTGTTTTAATGAGTGCATTTACTTTTATTTTAACCAAAATAAGATTACTTTTATATGAAGAGAGCTCCAAATAATAAACAAATACTGGTAAATGAAGAAGGTGAATGTATTCTATCAAAAACATTCATTGTTATGGAGGGTACTGAATTGTAAAATATGTACTTTTCATATTGCACATCCACTGCTTAACTACTCCTCAAGGCAACCATCTGTTTTTATCTATCTAGAGTGAAAGCAATAAAATATTATTAAACTGTCAAAATCTGTTTTTCCTCCCATTTAAAAACAGAAAAATATTGCTTTGAACTGGGAAAAATATCCATTGCAATTGAAAAAAATATGAAAGGATGAAAACTCTGTGAAGGTTGGCTTTCATTTAAACATTTCCAGAGGGGTAAACTCAGTTAGGAAAAAAAAAAAAAAAAGAAGAAAATAACAA